GTGCCTCGGGACTGCCTCATTTCAAAGGGTGCTCGGGACTCTCATCATTGAAAGGGTGCTCCGGGACTCTCCATCATTTCAAAGGTGTGCCCTTCGGGACTCTCCATCATTTCACAAGGGTGCCGTGACTCTCCATATTTCAAAGGTGCCTCGGGACCTCCATCATTTCAAAGGGGGCCCGGGAAATTCTCCAAACATTTCAAAAGGGGCCCTCGGGACCCCTCCCCTCATTTCAAAGGGTGCCCCCGGGGCTCCCAATTCCCTTTTTAAAAAGGGGGCCCCCGGGGAAACCAGCCATAATTTTTAAAGGGGGCCCTTTACTGAAAAAAAAGGGTTTAAAACTCTGGTCTACAGAAAATCTCCAATATACAGCCAATCCTTTTCCAAGGAAGAAAAACCCAAATTTAAAAACCCCAAAGAGGGGTGTAAAAATGAAAGAAGTATGGGAAAGCAGGGGCAAAACCCCCCTCAAAGATGGGAAAATTTACTACTTTTATTAAACACCCCCCCCCCCCTTCCCCCCCCGGGCCCCATAGCAGAACGACGGTCCCAGCTGGGGCACTCGCCGGTTTTGATGGGCCCATATTAAAAATCCTGTCAAAAAAAATGACACTCACGGGGGCCGGGGGGCAGGGGGGTGATCTGGGACAAACCCAATGGACACATCACTACACCAGCCTGTTGCCAGTGTCATGTGACCGCTGTGACCAATCACAGCAGATCATAATGTCGATTGTATACAATGGATGGCTTCCTGCCATGCCCTCCCCCACATCCATTATATACAGATTGCATTGTTAGCTGTGACTGGTCAAAAGCAGTCACACATGGTCAGACAGGGCCATTCACAGCCCCATCTGTATCATGTGATCAGCTTTGCTCAATCACAGCTAATCACAACTAAAGACTGAATGAATGCTTGGTTAGCTGTGATTGGTCAAAGCAGTCACATGATACAGACAGGGCCAATCACAGCCCCATCTGTATCATGTGATCAGCTTTGCTCAATCACAGCTAATCACAACAAAAAGACTGAATGAATCGGTTTCATTCAGTAACAATGATTGCAAATATCAATGAAACACATCGGTATTAGCAATCATGTATTAAAGAAAAAAAAAATCCTGATCACTGTGCCCACAGTAGTTCAATATTTTACTATGGTAACATTGTATTGCTTTGGTCACAGTGTGGCTGAAAAAAAAAAATAGTAAAAAAAAAATAAAAATAAAAAAAAAAAAAAAAAATCGAAAAATTTGAAAACAAAATAAAAATATAATTTAATTTGTATTATATTCACCTAAGAACTGTAGCAGAATACAATTTGACCTAATTTAATGAAGAAATGTGTTATTTGCAAAATTTTATAACAGAAAGAAAAGTGTGTTTTTTCCCCCAAAAGTTTCAGGTATATTTTTTGTTTATTTAGCAAAAAATAAAAAACTCAGTGGGTGCCACAAAAGAAAGCTCTATTTGTGTGAATTTTTTTCAAAATGTTTTTGAATTTTTAATTTATATAGCAAAAAAATAAAAACCCCAGCAGTGAATAAAAACCACCAAAATAAAGTTTTATCTGTCTCTAAAAAATTATATGGGTACAGTGTGTTGCCATGAACCCGCGCAATTGTCATTCAAAGTGCGACAGCGCCGAAAAAGCTGAAAATTGGCCTGGGCAGGAAGCGGGGGTGAAAGCGTCCGGTATTGAAGTGGTTGATCTAGTACAGCCAACCATTCGCAAACCTATGGCTCCCTCCCGAAGTTGCGAGGGGTTCCTCGAGCTGTAGATAAATGACCTCCACTTGGATGGTGTGTGTGGATAGTTCTGGGGTAAAAGTCACTTGGTGGAGTCAGCTACAGGACACCAATTGATCTTTTTGACTGCCATCAAGGGTGACATTTTGGTCACCCACTTTAGGAGATCTCTTTTCACTGGCCACCAATGTAAGAGGCATTTTTCCCATTAACCCTCAATAATTGGTTTTAGGAAGGGTTCCCTGAGATCTAAAAATGATTTCAAGGTTCCTGTAGGGCAGGGGTGGGGTAGGGCAGGGTGGAGTGGGGTGGGGTAGGGCAGGGGGGGGGTGGAGTAGGGCAGGGCAGGGGTGGGGTAGGGCAGGGGTGGGGTAGGGCAGGGCAGGGGTGGGGTGGGGTAGGGCAGGGCAGGGGTGGGGTAGGGCAGGGTGGGGTGGGGTAGGGCAGGGCAGGGGTGGGGTGGGGTAGGGCAGGGCAGGGTAGGGCAGGGGTGGGGTGGGGTAGGGCAGGGCAGGGGTAGGGCGGGGTGGGGGCGGGGCAGGGGTGGGGCGGGGCAGGGCAGGGGTGGAGTGTGGGCAGGTGCACTTGGGGTGGCCCTCTGATATAGCCCGCGCCCTCAAATCAGGAAAGTGCATGCCCAGGGTCAGCAACCCATTCTGGACTTTCAGAAAGAGCACCACATCCACAAGATATAATATTGCTGCAACTCTATGGCAAAGCACAGCCAACCTGCAGGAAGGTACACTGCAGCATGTCAATGTGAAAGCAGCCTTAGAGGGGGCTCAGGACAGTAAGGGCTTGTTTACATTTGGGGGGGGGGGGGGGGTAAAACCTCAGTTGAGACACTATTGGTGTAGCATTAGGGGTTGCAATGGTGACCCAGTCCCATGCTCCAGGGGGCCCATGCAGCCTCCCTGTCACATTCTTGGACAGAAGGGGCGGCATATAGAGGAAATGAGCCTTTTCATTTTCCTCCTGCAACTGCTGAAAGATAGCTTCTCTCTCAATGGCTGCAGGAGGAAAATGCTCATTATGCTATTCAAAAGAAAAACAACCCCCCCCCCCCCAAACAAAAAAAAAAAAATTCTAAACCCATTTCCTTTGTCATTTGGGACAGTGATCGGTTTACCAAATCATTTAAAGCGGAGTTCCACCTGAAAAAAAAAAACAACACAAAAAAACCACAAAAAACTAGCTGCTGACTTTTAAAATACAGATACTTACCTGTCCCTCGGTCCAGCGGTGTCCTCACCATGGCTGGTTTCACCGGCCGTCTTCTCTCTCTCCCCGGCGCCGGCATCTTCAGTGTGGGCACCCGGGCTGTGACAGCTTGCGGCTTCACAGCCGTGTGCCCACTGCGCATGCAGGAGAAGCTCTGCGCTTTGTGAATGGCCCCGTAGTCTTCTGAGACCTGTCACGTATCCCAGAAGACTACGGGGAGGGAGGGGGGAGGACAGCTTCTGCTTCCAATCGCCTAGCCCAGGGGTAGGCAACCCTGAGAGCCGCAGGACTACAAGTTCCATCATGCCTCTGCAAGTCATAGCTGTAACTGTCAGTTTTGTAATGTTGCAATGCCTCATGGGAAATGTAGTTCCACAACAGCTAGAGAGCCACAGGTTGCCTAGGCAATGGAAGCGGAAGTTGTCCCCCCCCCCCCCCCCCCCCCCCCCCAACGCACACACACGCAGACACATGTACAGATACACACATGTACATACACAGACATGCATACACACACACACACACGCTGCTAAGTGCTCTCTCCTCTCCCCTGAAGCCACCACTGGCTGACAGAGGATCATGTGACCAGAGTGAGTTAAAATTAGGCACACACACCTATAAAAAGTTGCAGTACTTCGTTGTTCACTCACAGAGCCGGGTACTGCACTCTAGGGGGAGGCAGAGAGCACAGCACACACTCCTTCCTTTGCTTTCACTGCGCTCAGCTATTGAGCAGTCTGACAGTTCCCAGTGCCGCTGACAGATCTGGCCTGAGCTCCGAGCCTGCTCAGCAAGACAGCCCTGGGGGACACACCATAATTTCCACTCGCCATTGGTGAGCAGGTGAGTGGAAATTTCAAGGTCTGTTCTATGTGATGTTTGTTGGGAGTATCCGTCAGAGTTATTATCACCTTGGAGAATCTGAGCCATCTTTGGGGAAGTCGTGTTGTGTCTTGAGAGGGAATCTTTTCCTTGGAGGAATATTTATCCAAAATGCGCAAATGCCAACCATGAGAATGGAAGGCAAATATTTCTGGTGAGTGCGCACCTGAGAGGGGAGCGCGGCACAACTGAAGATTGTTTCTTGAATATTCACGTGGCGATCATAAAAAGGACTGGGATAGATGGACTTTTTTATGCGTTTATTTTATAATCATTTATAGAGCGTCGCATTCATATTTTGTATTTACACAATATTATTTTGAATACTTGTCTACATCCTCCCCGCCACCCTTACACCTTCTGAGGTCTGCTGGTACAAGCCAAATCTTCTAGGTTTTTCCAGCACTGCATCAAATTTGCAACACAATTCGATTCCAAAAGCTCAGCAGCATCAGTTACTCGTTTGAGCATTTGGGTTGGCAGAATGGAAAAGCAGTAGGGTGCTCTGGGCCCCTGGATCCCCGTTGCATAGTCCAGGCATGCAGGAGGAGGATAGTCCTGGAAGCCCATCGTATAAAAGAAGGAATTGTGAATTTCAATGCAACCAATAGCGATTCCACCATATATGTAACCAAAAAAACAACCTACCTTCTACGCCACTGATGCACTTCACTCGATCTCGGACTTCGACATTATACCCCTCAAATGACATGAAGACCCCATCAGGGTGGTAGGGGCCTCGTTGTGCATATACTTTGGAGTAACTGTGAGAAAACTCAAATCGCTCAAATCCGTCGTACTGGGCGATCTTTCCATATATCTCAAAATATTTCTCCATCCACGAGAAGGGCATGTACACCTCACTGCCCTCTCTTCGGCACCTAATGGTTTGATCTTCATTGATCACACAGTCTATCTCCTCATACTTGGGGCCCGTGCCTTTGCTGCCCACCAGAGGTGGAGCCTTCTGCTGTTCCTGGGGGGAGGCCTCCTCAGATCTGGGCTGGCCATTGACGGGGTTGCTTTCCGAAGCCGCTGCTCGCTTCTCTAGACTGTCCGCTCGCAGGCCCGACTGTGGCCCCCATGGTAAGGTAGACTGATGGTCATTGCATTTGTTCCACAGTAAGACCGTCACCAACGTGAAGAGAGAGCAAATGAAGATGAGCGTCTTATAGTTGACACGAGCTGCCAAGCAACGCATGTTCACACCATACCTAGGAGGAAGAACAGAGACATTGAGAATGATGAACTTCATATTGAAAATATTACCCTCCTGAAATTTTATTCACACCCCTTAACCACTTCAATGTTGGACACTTCTACCTCCTTCCTGCCCAGGACAATTTTCTGCGTTGTAGCACTTTGAATGACAATTGCGCGGTAATGCAACACTGTACCATAGAAAAATTTTTTTTTCACACAAAAATAGAGCTTTAATTGGTGGTATTTAATTTTAGTTTATTATTTTGCTAAACAAAAAAAAAAAAGGCTAAGACATGGCATCATCCCAGTGCGGAACAGGCAGGCACTCAACCACCTAATGTGTGCTGTGCTGGGGAAGGCTTTGGATAGAGGAAAGTTCACATGGAGGAATGGGGATTTGGGGGGTCAGGGGGAGAGGTGGTGCTTTGGATAGAGGCAAGTTCACACGGGGGGAATGGGGTCACACAGGGAATGGGGATTTGGGGAGTCAGGGGGGAGAGGTGGTGCTTCGGATAGAGGCAAGTTCACACGGGAGCAGGGGTGCTTTGGATAGAGGCAAGTCACACAGGGGTGGGGGTGTCAGGGGTGCTTTGGATAGAGGCAAGTTACACACAGGGGTGGGGTGTGGGTGCTTTGGATAGAGGCAAGTTCACACAGGGGTGGGGGTGTCAGGGGTGCTTTGGATAGAGGCAAGTTCACACAGGGGATGGGAGTGTCAGGGGTGCTTTGGATAGAGGCAAGTTCACACAGGGGATGGGGGGTGTCAGGGGTGCTTTGGATAGAGGCAAGTTCACACAGGGATGGGGGTGTTCAGGCAACGGGGATGGGGGTGTCAGGGGTGCTTTGGATAGAGGCAAGTTCACACAGGGATGGGGGTGTCGCAGGGGGGGTGCTTTGGATAGAGGCAAGTTCACACGGGGATGGGGGTGTCAGGGGTGCTTTGGATAGAGGCAAGTTCACACGGGGATGGGGGTGTCGGGGGGTGCTTTGGATAGAGGCAAGTTTACACAGGGGGTCAGGGGGCTTTGATAGAGGCAAGTTCACACAGGGAGGGGGTGTCGGGGGTGCTTTGGATAGAGGCAAGTTCACAGGGGGATCAGGGGTGTCAGGATAGGGCAAGTTCACACGGGGATGGGGGTGCGGGTGCTTTGGATAGAGGCAAGTACACAGGGGGATGGGGGTGTCAGGGGGAGCAGGGGGTGCTTTTGGATAGAGGCAAGTACACAGGGGGATGGGGGTGTCAGGGGGAGCAGGGGTGCTTTGGATACAGTCAAGATCACATGGGGATTTGGTAGGGGGGGGGGAGAGGTTGTGCTTTGGATAGAGGCAAGTACACACTAAAGTGGGATGTGCTTTGTTCATTTTTCACTGCCGATGTTTACAACCACTGTGACTGACAGCACCACGAAGCTGCAGTGCAATGGCGTGGGATGTGTCGTGGTGCAGAATCTCCCGACCTTAGACTGGTTTCTGCTTTACAAAGTAATTATGAGAATGTGAATAAAGGCCAATTTCAGGTATACTTGTAGTAATTAAAATACTTTCAATTAGTTTTTTTTTCCCCTCCAAATAATGAGCGTCTTTCTATTTTCCTGGCATTCTGCTTTAATCACAGCTTCAAGTAAGGGAGAACAATGATTAATAGCGAGCGGCTCGTGAACAAAGAAAGGTGGCTTGCCTGTAGCTATCCTATTCTAGTTGTCACTCCTCTGTTTTATGTTAGGAAGTGACAGTTGGAGTCTGTCTGCCGCGGGCAAAGAAATCGCTTTTCCATTCCTGCAATTTCTTTATAACTCAGACTCATTTACCAATACCACCCCCCCCCCCCCAATAAAAAAAAAAAAGGCACAAAACATGCGGCGCTCCCAGGTCGTGAAGCCTGACCTAATCCTGCATCAGAGGTCTGTAGGTGACCAACAAAAAGTGGAAGAACCATTTTTAAATCCTGAAGTTAAAGTTTAATGTGCTAATATTTTGCCTTTCCTGCCCCCCCCCCCCCCCCCCCGACATACATACAATATGGGTACACATTACTTGTATTTTCATGTTCTCACCAAACGTGCCACTTTCACATTGGAAGAGAAGCATGTACATGCATGCATGGGTCGGCGCTGACGCAGAAGCCATCAGAGTTTGGGTGTACGGCCATTCACTTGTATTGCATGTCACGTGCATCTCCCTGGGTTGGGTGTCAAGGAGAGAACACGGGAGCTACGAAACGTACAAGAAACCTTATATAGAAGATAGGAAACCAGCAATGTCTGGCAAGGCCGGCTCTGCAATCAATTTGTAATGGAAAGTTTGGCTCTGATATTCCATTTTATTGGCAAGCCTGGCTCCGCTAGTCCTTTGCATTGGCATACTTGGTTCTGCTATTCTTTGCATTGGCAAGCCCGGCTCTGCTATTCTTTGCATTGGCAAGCCCGGCTCTGCTATTCTTTGCATTGGCAAGCCCGCTCTGCTATTCTTGCATTGGCAAGCCCGGCTCTGCTATTCTTTGCATTGGCAAGCCCGGCTCTGCTATTCTTTGCATTGGCAAGCCCGGCTCTGCTATTCTTTGCATTGGCAAGCCCGGCTCTGCTATTCTTTGCATTGGCAAGCCCGGCTCTGCTATTCTTTGCATTGGCAAGCCCGGCTCTGCTATTCTTTGCATTGGCAAGCCCGGCTCTGCTATTCTTTGCATTGGCAAGCCCGGCTCTGCTATTCTTTGCATTGGCAAGCCCGGCTCTGCTATTTTTTGCATTGGCAAGCCCGGCTCTTGGCAAGCCCGGCTTTGCTTTTCTTTCCATTGCTTTTCTTTCCAGCAAGCCCGGCTCTGCTATTCTTTGCATTGGCAAGCCCGGTCCTTTGCTTGGCAAGACCGGCTCTTTGGCATTGGCAAGCCCGGCTCTGCTGGTCCTTTGCATTGGCAAGCCCGGCTCTGCTAGTCCTTTGCATTGGCAAGCCCGGCTCTGCTGGTCCTTTGCATTGGCAAGCCCGGCTCTGCTAGTCCTTTGCATTGGCAAGCCCGGCTCTGCTGGTCCTTTGCATTGGCAAGCCCGGCTCTGCTGGTCCTTTGCATTGGCAAGCCCGGCTCTGCTGGTCCTTTGCATTGGCAAGCCCGGCTCTGCTGGTCCTTTGCATTGGCAAGCCCGGCTCTGCTGGTCCTTTGCATTGGCAAGCCCGGCCCTTTGCATTCTGCTGGTCCTTTGCATTGGCAAGCCCGGCTCTGCTGGTCCTTTGCATTGGCAAGCCCGGCTCTGCTGGTCCTTTGCATTGGCAAGCCCGGCTCTGCTAGTCCTTTGCATTGGCAAGCCCGGCTCTGCTAGTCCTTTGCATTGGCAAGCCCCTGCTAGTCCTTTGCATTGGCAAGCCCGGCTCTGCTAGTCCTTTGCATTGGCAAGCCCGGCTCTGCTAGTCCTTTGCATTGGCAAGCCCGCTCTGCTAGTCCTTTGCATTGGCAAGCCCGGCTCCTTTGCATTGCATTGACAAGCCCGGCTCTGCTAGTCCTTTGCATTGGCAAGCCCGGCTCTGCTAGTCCTTTGCATTGGCAAGCCCGGCTCTGCTAGTCCTTTGCATTGGCAAGCCCGGCTCTGCTATTCTTTGCATTGGCAAGCCCGGCTCTCTCTTTGCATTGGTCCTTTGTCCTTTGGCAAGCCCGGCTCTGCTAGTCCTTTGCATTGGCAAGCCCGGCTCTGCTAGTCCTTTGCATTGGCAAGCCCGGCTCTGCTAGTCCTTTGCATTGGCAAGCCCGGCTCTGCTAGTCCTTTGCATTGCCAAGCCCGGCTCTGCTAGTCCTTTGCATTGGCAAGCCCGGCTCTGCTATTCTTTGCATTGGCAAGCCCGGCTCTGCTTTTCTTTGCATTGCCAAGCCTGGCTCTGCTATTCCTTTGCATGGGCAAGCCCGGCTCTGCTAGTCTTGTGATTTTGCAAAACTGGCTCTACTAATGATGCCAAACTTCTTATTTCCTGTGGCCCCCCGCCAGCTAGTACAACAGACAGCTATAAACTGCTACCTTTGGATGGGTTCGACTTGGATGCGTTTTGTCGCTCTGCAAAGTCAGACCCACTACAGAATGTAAAAACACCCCATTCACACTTGTGCAACATGTCATTCAACTTTGAAAATCACAGTTACATGGCAAGCCACACCCCATGTTTTCTCCCATTCATAAGCATTCCCAAACGTGCGATTTAAAGTCGCAGAGACTTCAAAGTAGTTCAAGCACTAGTTTAGTCCAAAGTTCAAGGAACGTGAAGGCCACAGACATCAACGATAACCCCCCAAATGTGCATGAGAGTCCTACCTGAATGTTTACATGCAACAGAGAGTGGGTCCGACTGTCACTTCCGAGTCGCACCTACCTAACGTCGTGTCAGTGTTGCATGATTTTGGACATTTACTATCCATTCACACTTGTAGGATTCCAAAGATGCTGCTTCTTCCCCAGCTCGGTGTTTTGGCATAGACAGCCATGGGCAGCACAGGGGCTAAATGGTTAGCACTTCCGCCTGGCAGTACTCGGGTCGTTGGTTCGAATCCCAACCACGGCACCACCTGCCTGGAGTTTGCATGTTCTCCCTGTGTGCGTGGGTTTCCTCTTTCCTCTGGGTACTCCGGTTTCCTCCCACACTCCAAAGACATGCTGGTAGTTGAATTGGCTCCTGTCTAAATTGTCCCTAGTATGTGTATGTATGAATGTGAGTTAGGGACCTTAGATTGTACGCTCCTCGGGGGCGGGGACTGATGTGAATGTACAATATATATGTAAAGTGCTGTGTAAATTGACGGCGATATATAAGTACCTGAAATAAATAAATAATAGAAGAGATGTTTCAGAAGCAGCCATGAAAATTTCTTCCACAATTTTGCCAGTAAGAAGCCTCCATCTTCCTTCTACTTCTGCTGGAGGGGGTTGTCCCCAGCAGGGGCGGACTGACCATTCGAGCACTGCCCAAGGGCCCGGGGTCAGTAGGGGGCCCCATGAGATGCCCATGGTACCTTTTTCATAGGCTTTTTTGAGTTTGGGCAAG